TGCCACTGCATTGGTGAAGGAGGACAGAAACTCACTGCGACCATCTTGGTGGCTGCAGGGTACTGCAGCCAGTGGGATGCCTTGTAGGCATCTGTGAGTACGCTGACGGGCACCGCCGTCCCAAGCATGGGCGCTTGCGTTGCGGCACGCCCCTCACGCCGCGGCTGCAGCTGCTGCTGCTGCTGCTGGGCGCCCGGCCGGTTGGCAGGGGCACCGGCCGCAAGCGGCTGCGCGCTTTGGGGTGCCGCGGCGCAAGCAGGGCAAAACGGCTTGCGGCCTGCGGGGCGGTGGCCGGCGAGGCGCTGGTTGCTACACGCCAGTGGGCGTGCTATATGGGAACAGGGGTTGGCGCACACGTGCGCCGGCGCCACTGCCCCGCTGCGCGCCTGGCGGGTGGCTGCGTTGATATGGCGCCGTTGATGTGCCGAGCACAGTCCGCTGGGGGCTAGCTGACCGCTGATCTGTGCACCTAGCATATATGAGGAGCGTTGCGCACGAAACGCTGGTGTGGAGCAACCTATCGCTTCGAACGAACTGATGCGCGAGGGACGTGTCCCTATCGTCAGAAGGCGGTGTAGATACCCTGAAAGAGTTAAAACAGACTGTGATCATTGCCTGTATGGCCCAGGCGAGGGTAGTCCGTTGAGTAATGAACTTGTCAGTGCCCTCCTGCTGTGGTGCTGATGACTGATGACCTAGGGGGCACGCAGGAAAAGATTCATGTCAAAGATAGCATCGTATGATTATAGAAGTATACCTACCTACCTTGGAGTCGTAGTCGGCCGTCACCCTCTCACCGGGGATCAAAGGAACACGTGTGCGGCAAGCAGCGGAGTGCACAAAGCGAGTGGGGTATCCCTGCCCGTACCCAGTCCACCGGGACTCGTATCACAGAATCACCTATGATTATAATCAGGCTGGATGGTTTCACACAACTGTCAGGTTCCACCGCAGCAACATCACTAGCGGCACCAGCACCGGCAGCGCCAGCGCCAGCGATGAACGCAGTGGCAGCACATCCAGCAGCAACTGCAGCAGCACTAGCAACAGCAACAGCAGCGTCAGCACAACCAGCAGCGTCGGCAGCAGCGCCACCACCAGCACCAGCCCCTGCTGCACGAGCAGCAACAGCACAACCAGCAGCACTAGCACCTGCTGCGCCTGAAACCATGGCTATGGCTGCGGCTGCCGGCCAGGGCTGCCTAGCGGCAAGCCAGCACCCCCACATCAAAAGCCTAGCAGCGCTACTGGCCGGCATCAGCATGTTGCCCAAAAATCGCGACCTTGCTGGCGCTGTTGTGTATGCGTGCAGCAGAATCGTGTGTTCCTGGACCATGCCAGCACAGAGATTATATAATGGATCACTAACGGCCCCGGGGCGCGCGGCGTCCACGACTTGTTCACGCGCCCTCGTACTCTTGCTTGCAAGGCTGTGGCGGCGGCGCGGGTTCCCAGAGGCAGCCAGGGCTGTTACGGGATGTGGGATCCAACGCAGGCTTCTATTCGATGGTCGCAGCATCCAACGGGTGCAAAGTCCTGTCGTTTGACCCACAAAAGGCGTGCGCCGTCTTGTGCGCCGGAATCACTGCCTCAACGCAGGATACCTCGTAATTGCCCTCGACTTGGCAGCTGTCGTCAACGCCCCGGTAGTGGACGTGCCCACTACGCTCAACCTGTCAGCACCGCCTCGCTGCGAGGGCGTCTTCTATGTTCTAGCCCACAGGGTCGGGCGCAACCGCACAGCACACGGTGCCTACTACAGAGACGTACCAGCACACCACCGTGTCACTCGACGGCCTGCTCCTCAACAGCACAAGTCTTCCGGTGTATACGATCAGAATTGACACCGACGGGTACAAAATGGCAGTGCTGACGTCTCTCGAGGGCACGCTGACGGCGCGACGTGTGCGTCACATCATAATTGAGGTGACCCCGCCCCCTCTTCTGGGCACGCAACAACATGCCTCACACGGAGAATTACATCTCCTCCCTTTGCTGGGCTATGGGCGCGTGCTTGATGTGGTGGCCAGCTCACGGAGGTGCTGGATTGACTGATGAGGCAAAGCTGCAGGAGTACAGTCTTCCCCCGCTACAGTGAACCGGTCGGGGTTGGCGGCACGTTCGCTATAGCCGGCTTTCTCGTTATCGCGAAAAGTGAAAGTGGACAGCTGCTGGTATGGGGGGTAGCGGCGGCGTTCGCTGTAGGCAGGGTTTCCGCTATGGCGGGGTTCGCTGTAGCGGGGGAAGACTGCACCTGGTATCTACTTCAACGCAAGTTTGTCAAGGAGGACCTGCTGGTCAGCTCCCCACCAGAGCAGCGCTCCTGACCTCTTAGTCGCACATTTGAGTCATGTTGCTGGAACCAGGACGCGTTGTGGTGTGGCCGAGAATCGCCCTTGCCCAAGCAGCGGTGCCAAGGCTGCTTGGCACACCTGCTTGCCATGGGTACGGCGGCCTGTTGCACGCTCACGGTATGGCATCACTTGTTCTGCCTGACAAGCAGCCACACTTGTGCTGCTGATGCAATTGCTGTAGGCTACCTTGCGCAGGCTGAGTTTTATATGCTTGTGTACATGGCTTGACGTCAATGCTCTAAATCAACAACGCCTGCTTTGTTATGTAACGATGTAAGCCTCAAGCCCAAATCAGTCGATTGTGGTGCAGGTGATTGTGTATGGGACATACAATTAAGGAGTCTGTGCACTCATGCACCGTGGTTAAACTTGAGTTTTCAGGGCGAGAAAGCTAGAGCGCATGTGGAAAAGGGTTGGACGCAGCGTATGTAGCAGTGGCACGCCTGTGGTGAGGCGCCTGTTAGGTACACAGCGCCCTACTTACAACTGTTTATTGGCAGCGATAGAGTAACACACTCTCAACAAACTATAAACTATGTAATTGAAGTCCATGTTGAATTGAATAAACACGTTGTGTAATTCCTTGGAGCCTGTCTGTGAGCTGCAATTAGCTGGCAGACCTTGCACTGCATGCTGGGCCTAAACTCAATCTGGCGAATTAAAGTCTGGAAAGCAGGCGCAAACTCCTCCACGCGCGACTTTTTTTTCCATGCCAGCATCTGTTCGTACGCAGAGCGATCCCCAGCAAGGCGCTCAAGCTCCGCCATCAACGCCTCAGGGGTGGTGATGTTGGACCCCGCGCCGTAAATGATTGCAACGTCGGGGTCAGGGAAGAAGTCGCGGGCATTGGGCGGGCCAAGGTAGATGGGCACACAGCCGGCTATTAATGCATCCCAAAGCTTCTCAGTGACATAATCTTTTGTGATGCTATTTTCCATCGCAACACAAAACTTGTGTCGTGCAATGAGCTCTTGTTTGGGGCCCGGCATGGGTGTGTTGTTGTCGCACTTGCCATACGACAAAACTTTGACGCGGGTGCTGTTACTGACAAGGCGCATCAGCCCCCGCATTATCTCGGCGCGCGGTGACAGCGTCTCACAATTGCTGTTTACATACGCAACAGCATCCAGCTTCTCCTCAAATGGCACAGGCGCCCGCAGCAGCTGCGGCAGCAGGCGCGATGGGTCGGGGCTGAGGAAGTCCCTCAGGTGAATATCGAGGTAAAACGTGGGCACCTGCGTACGCCACAGGAACAGAAGACTGTGAGCCGCGTGGCCACAGATGCAGCCAAACTCACGGTGGCACTGCAGCCGTCGTCCAACTGCTCAGTGCTCACCTGAGAGCATGTGCGGTACGTCATCTCAAGATCAAAGAGCCGCATGTATTCGGGGTCGTCCAGGCATGGGTAATACTGCGAGCTCTCCATTGAAAAAATGACGCGCAAATGCTTCGCATTTGGCAGCCGCGACGGTGGCAGAGTTTTGGGCGGCGATGATTTCGAAGTCGAACGGGCATTGCACGCGTGCGGGGCGTGGTACAGCGCAACATCTGCGCCAAGCAAAACTGCATCTGCCTCTGAGGTGGCCTGTACAAAGCGGCAGGTAAGGGGCTGCCCCTGTTGATGGATTGACGCAGTGTTTGGGAGCGGTCAGTGTCATTGCAGTCGCTAAGAGCAAGATGTGCCAGGCTGTCTCCAACACCCACTCACCTCAAAGCTGCAATTAGACACAGCACGTGTGAAGTCCGGCCTGAGGAAATGAGGTGTGGCGAGCACCACCAGCACGTCCTTGTTTTGCACGCACTGGGCGTTGACTGGTAGAGAGGGTTGCAAATTGCTGCTCACAGGTGGGTTTGCAATGGTGCTGGGAAGCTGTGGCGCTCCTGTCAGGTTGTTGGCAGGCTGCTGCTCGATGCCTGACACGTTGCCTGAGATGTTGACCGTGGCGCTGAGGTTTGAGGAAGCAAGGCTCTGTCGATGCCCGCTGGGCCCAGGGCCTCCCCACAAGTGGTAGGGGAACAGCCTCGTCGACGGCTGCGACTTCAGGTCCAAGAACAGATGCAGCAGCAGCACCAGCGCTAAAGTGCCTGCAATCCACAGTGCCGGCCCTTGGGCCATACGTCTCTGCGTTGATGCCAAGTGGCTCACAGATCATCAAGGCCCCAGATCGACGGTGGTACATCCGGATTGCAGATAGCATTAGGAATCAATCATTGCGATGAAAATCACGTGTTTTTTCGCGGTGAAAGATGCGTAAGTCACGGCAGTAAGAAATGCATACAATGTTTTCGAGGAGTCTGCCAAGCAACCACCCACAACGGGCCCGGGAGCAGCATTCGCAGGTTGGCTGATTCAGCCTGCACTCTGTTTATGATAAACTGCCAAGGAGATGATATAGCATCTTAAATTGCAAGTGGCATGTGCTGTGCAGAGATACTGTTACCGTGACCTGCACTCAATTGTAAATGTGCCGACGTGGCCTGCACATTTGAACAAAAGCTACATTGATCTGGTTTGTGTTCCAATCGATCCCTCCGCCCACTACATACGCAGCAACCACATTACCGTAGCAGACGGCCTGTGCGGGTGATCGCACCAGCGGCTCGCTCCAGATGTCTAGGCCGGCTTCTACCAAGCAGAGACAATCAATGCAAGGGGACGAGGAACCGCCAGAGCCCTCCAAGCCTCAGAAGATCGACTTGGACGACGCAAATGCGATCAAGCACAAGCTTGATAGCACGGCGTGTGAGGTGTGGTGCTATGTGCATTGTTCAGGAGTGCATCACGGAGGCGCCGAGGCGCCGCGGGCACTGCCGCTTCGACCGCTGCACTGCTCCTGTCCTCGATCATTCTGGCTCCCTCGGGGTTGGCAGTCATGCTGTCTGCGCATGTGTCCGCGGCGCACCTGCCTACTTGCAGGTAGTGCTGGATGCGGGGTACATAGAGGATCACCTGATCAGCAACGTCAAGATTGTGCTGGGTGCAACTGCGTGAGTGGTGACCAGCTACCCCTGGCAAGGAACGACGCATTGCTTGCAACCACATCAGCGGCAGGCCCCAGGGCGGTGTGACGCCCTCATGGGATGGAGAGAGAGCCATACCAGCACTGAGCCACATGTCCAGTGGCAGTCTTCCCCACCCACCCCCGCTGCCAAGGCGCCTGGGCCCCACCTTCCACCTGTAAGTGCTTGCTTAATGAAATTTCTGCGCCGCTCGCGCTACGGCCGTCCCGGCTCCCGCAGCGTGCTGTGCGCAGTGTACTCCCATTTCGGGCCCGGAAAGTTCCCCGCGAACTGGTGGACTGTGGCTTTGTGAGCGGCTGGGCAGCAGCCAGGCTGGCCGCTGCTGCTGGTGGCGCTGCTGCCGCTGGCGCTGTTACTGTTGCTGCTGGTGCTGCTGCTGCTGCTGCTGCTGCTGCTGCTGCTGCTGTTGCTGCTGTTGCTCCTGCTGTACTGATTGCATCAAAGTTCGTCCCTGCGAGTTCGAGGGCAGGTAGTGGCCGACACCCACGACCCTACGGCGACTCCCCACCGCCTCAGCCCCGGGCACATCTGTCCCGCAACTCCGCGCTGCCGACTCCCCCCCCCTCCCCCTGCCCCTGGACCTGTCTGCCAGCTGTGTGGCGCTGTACGTGGCCATCAACGCGGTGCTGTCCGCGTTCACTTATGTGCGGGAGCGCGACAGCTTCCTCGTCACGCAGCCCAAGCTGGTGGGTGAAGGTGGGGGGGGGGGGCGGGGTGTTGCGCACACTGCTGCAGCGCTGTTCGTCGGGCTGGATCCGAGGAAGTCGGCTGCTGCTGCTGCTGCTGCTCTTTAAGGGTGCCTCGTTGAGGCTGACGCGCGCTTGGAGCAGCAGCGCCTCTGGGCAGGCGAGCGCCTGTGCTGATTTCGCAGGCGCCGGGGGGAGGCGGCAAGTCCGCATGGACCAACCCCCCTCAGCAATGTCCGTTACCATCTGCCTGCCGCTCGCCCAACACCCTTCCCGTGTTCACCCACACGCGCATGGTGTCCCCAGCCCCGGTCCCACCCAATTCCAATACTGCAAGGCCAACCTGCACACTACCCCAGGGCCGGGAGCACGGGGTGCGGCTGTCCAGCCAGATGGAGCGCTACGGGGACACCTACACCCTTGTGATCGCCAACGCGGACAAGCTGGAGGATAGGTGCGGACAAATCAGCCAAGGCCAAGGTGCCCTGCGCGCGCCTGCTGCGTGGTAGTGGACGCCTTGCCTTGAGGGAAGGCTGGCTGCCTGGCGGTTGCTTGGTATGGTGGCATGTTGATGCTGACACAAAGGACGAACACACACACACACACACATGTATACACATGCACATATGTACACGTATACAACCATGCACACACAGGGAGGTGCAGCTCGAGTCATCCATAACGTCGTACTTCCATGCGGACGGCTACCTCGCCGAATCCAAGTTCAGGACCCATGTGCAGAAGCTGCTCAGCCAGTACGAGCTCATAGACAAGGCCCACGAGGGCTCGCGGCCCAAAGCGCTCAACCCCAAAAAGCAGAGATGACTCGCGGCGGCCGGTCGGCTGCTTGGGCCGGGCCGGCGCGGCGGCGGCGCCGGGGGCCGCCGCCATGCGCCCGGCGCCGGCGGCGTCGTGCTGGGCGGCCGCGGGGGGCCGGCGCCTGTGGCGGCCAGGGGCTCAGGCGCGGCTGGGGAGGACGGTGTTTGTGGCGGCATGAGCCGGGGGGACCTGGAGCTGCAGCCACTGCTGGCACCGTCGGCCAGCGGTGCGCAGCATTAACCTGCGGCTGTCCTGGGACCTGGCAAGGCGCGGGCCCCTGGGGCAGGCAGCCTCGGCGCCGCGGCAGGCTGCCCCGCCGCACCGCGTGCTGCTCTTTGCAGACGTGTCGCTCCAGCCGTCGCCCCTGCCGGGGCGCTGCGGGTTCTGTGTTCGCTTCCCTGAACTTGTTGCGCCCAGTCGTATGCCCGCTCTGCCGGCCGGCCGAGACGAGTCACTCGCATGCCTCTGATGAGGACATTCATGGGTACGGGTGCCCGCTCGCCCCACACCTATCATGCAGTGGGTTGCCCATCCACAAACCCTGTCGCTGAGAGCTCAAGGCTTACCCGCTAACCCACCACACGCAACGCAGGACGCGACACTCACAATGCGTCCTGTGTCGTTCAACGTAGCAGTCTTTTCCTGTCTTTCTCGTATGTGTAACCTGCAATCTTGTATCAAATGCAGATCACTCTCACAACACGCTGTGGTGCTGAGTCTGTGATCATCACGACAGCGCGGCTGCGGCTGCCTTCCTGCAGAGCGAGCTGCGTGGCAGCATTGGCTGGGCCCTTACCGACGGACGAAACAGCAGCATGCACAGGGCAGACGATTCCTCCGCACCCTGCACCCATGCATGCGTGCGCAACCACCAACAGATGGCTCCTACCGTCCGCTCGCCCTGGATCCGGCCTGCCACTTGCCGTGCCTGTGCCAGCTCATCTTCTAGATCGCCCCATTGCAACTTGTGCTGCGGCGGCTCACGCAGCAGGTGGGGCCGCAGAACACTTCATATGAAGATGTCAAGGCACCAAGGGCGCTGCAGCTTCACAAGGGGGCCACTGCGCCACGCAGGAACGTCTGACACCTGAGGGTCCTGCTGACCTGTGACAGTGCCCCCGCCACCCGGGGAGCCAGGCCACTGCTTGCTGCACTGCAGCCGCCAAAGCTGCGCGGCGCTTTGCTTTGCAGTGCCGCTTTACAAATTTGTCCGATTTGTGGTGCGTTGCCCGCCCTGCCCGCAGCCAGCGGGGACCGCCCGTCCGGCAACGAATCACGAAATCACCATTCAAGCGCCCTTAGAAAGTGCAGCTGGGCTCGCCAAGGGGCCGCCGTGTCACGCGGGGTGCCCCACGGCCGAAAGCGGGCTTCGCAGTGCCAAGCCCACAAGACACCATGCAGCGTGGGCCAAACCGCTTGGGCCTGGCCCCATCCAGCAGATGAGGTACTAGGCCCTCGAGTAGCGTGGCCTGTGAGAGGATGGTCAGTTCCACTCAAAAGGCAAACAAAGGAATCAGCACTTAATCGCGCTCCTGCTGGAGCAAGCAGTGGAATGGAGTCAGTGGCAGTGCCGTGGTCAGCCGGGCACGGGTGCGCCGCCTGCAAGTCTGGGCCGAGGTCGTGCCACACCGCAGCATCACCCCGTCAGTGCCCGACTGTGGAGTACCAAACTTGGGGGAGGGGAGGGGTTGGCGCTTGCAACCCGATTGCGCATGTCTGCAGTGTGTGTGTGTGTGTGTGTGTGTGCGTTTGTCATTGGGTAGTTGCGTGTGTCTTTGTGTGCGCACTCAGTGCAGCGGTGCTCTTGATGCGCTAAAGTGACAAAGCCGAGCCTGGCTGGGTTGGTCCATTGGACCAGAATAGGGCTTGTGAGGGTGCAGACGAGCGCACAGCCATGCTGTGTCAGCAGTGCGTTGTCAGGAACAGCCACTGCGGCTGAGGGGTCGCAATTCTGCGGCTGAAGTGGCATCATGCGGCGATGAGGCCAGCGCCTTCGGCGTCAAGCGTCCCAAGCCTGAAGCCTGCCATGTACTATAATAGACAAACAGCCAGCCAACCTAGGCTTCACAGGCCCAGTGGCCGTGCGCCCTGCTGCACTCGTGCCCCAGGCGTTGGCTGCGCCCATCCGTCCACCCTGTGCCTTGGCAGCGCCCGCTGCATGGGATGCGTTTCTAGTACAAGGCATGTGCTTCAGGCGCACCGCTGCCGGCCGCAAAAGCAGTCGGCCGCGGGCGCCTAATAGACCGCCCATCCGTCCCCAAGCCCTGCCTCCGCGCCATCTGCGGGCCCGTCGCCGCCGTCCGCTTCGCTGTCTTGCCAAGAAGGTGCCCGCCCGTCCGGGGCACCGCTCCCCTCTTCTGCCGCCCCCGCCGCCTCCGGCTCCCCCTCCTCAGCGTCGCCAGCGGGGCGCCGCGCGGGCGGCTCGTGCATCACGAGATCGCCGTCGCGGCGCTGGGTGTAGCTGGGCGGCGGGGCGCGGTGATGCAGGGCGGGCGGCAGCAGGGTGGGTCGCGACAGGGAGCGGCAACCAGCCTGCTAAACCAGCACACGTGCGCGCGCGCACTGGCATGGCGTGTTGACAAGCGCGTCTACTACGTCCGTGGAGGGTGACGGCGGGGGCGGCAGGCGCGTGCATGGCGGTGGGTTCGCGCTTTGAGCGTCTCACCCGAGGCTCTGGAGGAAGTCGTCTGGCGACCAGTCTAGTCCCTGGCAGTATGTGCGCGCGCGCGCGCGCGTGTGTGTGTGTGTGTGTGTGTGTAAGAGAGAGAGAGACTGTGTGAGTGTGTGTGTGTGTGTCAGAGAGAGGGGGTGGGCAGAAATGGCGAATTGGCTGGAGAGGGTTCAAAAGTCGCTTTGCGACGCGAGAAAGGGGGCAGCGTCCTGGGCACACGCACAACCTAGTGAGGGACCCAGGCGAGTGCAGAGTGCAGGAGGCGCGGCATCAGGAGGCGCTCGAGGCTGGCCTGAGCAGGCAGAGGGGCGCGGGCGAGCTGGGGGTTGCGATTGCATCCGTGTGTGTGTGTGTGTGTGTGTGTGTGTGTGTGTGTGTG